CCTGCACTCACAACTATTTGTTGGAATATTTAATGCAGTTAGATGATTATAACTCTGATTGTATTTTTGGTATTAGTATTTACTTATTTAGCATCAGTATATTTGTCACTGAAATTCTAAAGAACATCACTTCAGTCTTCAAAATTGTGGGTGCAAAAACTGAAGTCTGAAAACCAGACCCCAAGGATTCATACAATTTAGCTATACATTATGGAGAAAAATGAAAAAAATAATCATGTACATAAACACAAATTAAAGATAGAAAAATGCTTATTAAAATATTAAGATGAAACCTATTATAATTCTACATACTCTTTAGACAAATATTTCATGGTAAAATACTTCTCCATTTCCTGTAATGGTCAGAATTTAAGTTTAATTTTGAAAGATAAAAGCATTGACCTCTGAAATAAAAGGTTAAGGTTTATTTTCTCTCATTTTGAAAAGCCAGTATTCCTTTACATTCTCATACTAGCATCTAAAAGAAAACTAGTGAATGTAAAAAAAAAAAAAATGAAAAAAAAGATCAATATCAAGATCCATAGAATTTATCAAGACAGAACTCAGAGGCTTTACAAAAAGAGCAAATGCTAAAAAAAAATAAAAATAAAATCAAACCAAACCAAACCCCCAAACCAACCTGACTGTTTTAAGAACGAAGGAAAAAAGCAAAGTAATCAAACAATCAAATTGCAGAAAAAGACAAAATAATTGCAGTTCCATTTCGGGCTCAGAGTATAGAAGTGTTAAGTACTAGGCATGTATTGCCATATTTCTTGAATTTTGTGCCAGCGATGTAAATAGACAACCCAGAGTTGCCATCATAGCCATTCACTAGGTCCTGTGCAACTAGGTGATCTGAATAACATTTTATGTCCTTCAGCTCTACTTAGCCATCCAAAGTCTCAATAAGATAATCTACAACCTTCATCAGAAATAACAAAAAAAACTTATTGAGATTCTCAGTGAAGCAGCTCTGAAGAGAAGGCCAAACAGAAATGGAGGACTGATTGTACCAGACAAGACCAGACTTTAAGGTGCTGCCATCACTAGAGCAAAATACAAGAGACACGACATGCCATACCATGGTAAACCAACCACACTGACAGCCCTGGTTTTAGATAGTATTTACCACTTCTGATTTCATGCAGGATGGGATATGCAGCAGGGCTGGGGAAAGCAGATGTGTTTTGTTCTTGGTTTATGTCATTTCCTTTCCTATCAAGTGAGAAGGGATGCCTTCCAGCTGGCTAGAGCTACTGTAGACGTCTAGAGCTCCCACCCAGGAGGTGGCAGAAAATATATGACATGAAATTACCGTTCTTTGTCTGCTTGGAGTGCTTCTTCCAGATACAGGACTCACTGATCCTGATGTGTCTAATTCATCAGCAGAAGACCATGAGGACAATTCCTAAAGTTCAGAAGGAATGATGCTCAGAAATATAGCAATTAGCTCTTCAAGTAAGTAAACTAAAAAAAACCCTAAGTGAAATGCCAGCAGAATTATTTCCAAAGCAAATAAAATAAAGTAACTAAATTTTGTTACCAAATTTTATAAGACTAAGGCATTACAAGTTTTCTCTGTTAGCCCTGAAGGAAAAGAAAAGCAAACAGGTAGTTAAAACTTCATTGTTTTAGGTGACCCAGTTCCACCATAATCAATACAGAGGAAAAAACAGTTGCTTTTTATTGGCCTTTAATTGCAAGAAGAGGTTGATGCCACCAAGATTTTACTTAAACAGGCAGAAATTCACTAGAAGGAGGGAAGAGCTCAGTTCTCATGCCTTATGCACTCTGTTAATCCAAGACTTCAAAAAAAAGGTAACTAAAGCAGAACCTTGAAATCTTCATACCTGCCGCTGCTGGTGAAGATGTATGTATACCTCCCTCTCACATACCCTGAGACACATGAAAATTTGAGAAGATTTGGAGTACAGCTCAAAGCTCAGAAGGCACTATGACAGATTTGTTAGCCTCTTACAGAATTTTTTATGCTTTTTTTTTTTTTTTCCTCTTCAACAGAGCAAGCATTACCTTCCTTTCCAGTCATAACTGACACACTATAATTTTCAGTACTGCAACTAGAATAATTATCTCCCATGCTTTGCCAGTTGACTGAATCAGTAATGGCAAGATAAACTTATTGCTACAGCAAATAGCAAAAAATTACTGGATTAAAAAAAATCCCACCATATCACAAAAAAAATGTTTACATTATGAAGTGTAAGATTACTTTATGATATCTGAGATTACATGTGGACCATCTTGACAAGTATTTCAGACAACAGAAACAGTGCAGCTAACAGCACCGATCAGAGAGACAGTCAAAACAGTGGTAAACATGTGCCCAACAAACAGCAAAGATAAAAAGATGTGACTTACCAGTTGACTACTTGAAATGTCTAGAATTTTCTCTAGGTCTTTAATATGACGTGTGACCTCTTTCAAGAGAAGCTTCAGTCTGTTTCCAATGACATGCACCTTCTCTTTGGCTTCAAGACAGTCCTTGCCTTCAGCATTGACTAGCAATTGGCAGGACATATCTTGCAGCGATGCCACCTTCAACTGAGACTCCAGTAGTTCACGTCTGATTTGCTGTTGCCAAGGTAAGAACCATTTTTTTTAATGGAAGTAAAAAAAAAAAAAAAAAAAGCTAGAAATCACAAAACTGGACATTTTAAATTAATTAAATGGAAAGAAAAGAGAAGCAATAAATTTTTTTAATCTGAAATCTGACAGGAAGATAGATAGCAGCCTAATGGTTGCCTGAGATTTTAAATCACAAGTTATGCTACTTATGGAAGTGAGTAGTCTTCCCTACCAAAGCAAAGTTAGCTACTGACATTAGTCCCACAGTTGTGTGTTAACATGCAATGTACAATCCTAACCCTCAAGAGAAAGGCAAATCAGGGAGAAAGGGATGATGTTTTGGGAGAGAAAGGGATGATTATAGCTCTACCATTAGAAGTCTGCGATGATCCTGCAGCGTTTCTGAGTCCAGGTTTGGATTGATGGGCACAATCTCATTTTTTCTTCTGTCAATATTCTCTAACCAAAGCAGCAAACCATGGCTCATTTCATGGAAGTCCTGTGAGGGATGGGTGATGATTTTAATACCACAGCAGAAAATTCCAGTCAAATTCAGGTTATTAGTTTATCCTGCAATAGGTCCTACTGGTTAAATAACAGAACTTATAAGGAAGTGTAGAATACCAGAATGCATTAGAATGCTCTTCCAGAGATGACAAATTTAGAAAATCTTTGGGTGGAAATAACATGCTTCAGGTAGTGCAGGTGTATCTTTCAGAAAACGCAAGCCAAAGCTGTATTTTGGCTTGCATGGGTAAATTTCAGACTGAATAATAAGCACACCAGATAACAATATGGTTTACATTTTTGATATGTGGGATGCTGACAATTTAAAATAAGTGCAATACAGACCTGGCACTGCATTAATGCGTCCTGCAATGAGCAGCGCCACTCTTCGATCATACTGCACACGTGGTCCCAGCGCACATTCATCTGAGACAGGCGCTCTTGAAGCTTCTTGCTCTCTTCGCTGTCAGATTGAGTGAACTCCGAGCTGCACAGATTGATGGATAAGATGATCGCCTTGCGGTTATCAATTGCTTTCTGCAGCTCCTTGATGACAAGACAAAGTGGGACAGGGGAAGAAAGGATGGAAATTGGTAAAACATGCCTTTCAGAAGAACCAAGTAGAGAAGGCACCACAAGAATGCAATGATTTGCCATCAGCAACTGCAGAATGGTACCTTGCTGTAATAGTCTATTTACTCTGCATATGAGATTTCTGTGCTCACTATGTGCTTCTGCAAATGTGTACTCTTTTACATTCACTAAAATTTTACTGTGAGCATAAACTAGAACAAGCCAATTAAACTTGTAAATTCTTAAAAGCCTGAAGTCATAGTTGAATTTTAAAGATCTGGCTCATGTTTCAGATATTTTAAAGACAGACCAGGCTCAACAAAATTTAAAGAGATGTAGGACAATTGTACTTTAGCTCACAATAAAACTTTTGCCCTGACTTCTCAGTTTTGCTGATAAACATAAAAACCAACATGTTTTCAAGTGGAAACTGCTGTCAACAGTATTTTAAAATAAAAGCTTTTACTGAGGGAAAAGAAAACATACAAAGAGTACAAACAACTTACTCCAATTTATAGAAGCATAAAATGAATAAAACTTCTTAATTTGTTTACACTGGAAGCCACAAAAGAAACCCCACCTCTTTTGGTTTGGAGGGCACTAATGGGCTTTCCAAGAGTGGGTGAGATAAGAACAGGATTCTTATGAAATACCCCCTTTTCCACCTACTTTACAGCATTTACTTAAAAGCCCCATGTCACAGTGACCTTTGTAGTACTTATGGCAGCTATATTTGAATTCCAGTGAAGATCAGCATTAATATGCTTGAGACGGATCACTGCCGGAAACAGCCTTTACTATCTGTCCACCTCATTTCTACCATGGAGCACAGTGCACTTTGACATTGGCTCCTATGTTTTTCTGCCCAAGCTTATAAGATGATAGAAATGGAACATGAGGTTGTGGACAATCATATTTGCAGATCTTTATAGCTCTAGAATATCCAGGAGAGATCATAAAGGCAGCATTCAGATCCTGATGACAGAAGAAGAAACAGGAATGTTGCAAAATGACACCAAATTTTTTCCTATGTTGTACTGGTGACAGCAGTGGGTAGCCTAAAACCTCTTTGGGCACTCTCTCCCTTCAACACACAAAGTAATGTGTCCCAGTGAGGCACTTCTTTTCAAGTAGCTATTTTGTTACCAGCTTAACCTGAAGAGATTTGATTTAACTATTTAACTTGGCTTGTGGGGTTTTTTTGTTTTGTTTTGTTTTGTTTTGTTGTTGTTTTTTTTTTTTTTTCCTGTCATCAGCTTGGCTGACATCAGGAATTATCTGTATATTCTGGAATTACAGAATTGCCACAAAATTACTATTTAAATTTGGATTTTTGTATTATTTTGTATTTGGATTATATAGCAAATGCCAGTGGTACACTTTTCAGCCAAAAAGGTGATTCATAAGATCACTTTCCCAGTTACTTCAGTTATTGGCAGTAGCCCACCATGTGCAGAATGGAACAAACCAGCTGGCAATCTCTTCAACATACCTGTTGCACTCAGGTCTGTCTGCAAGGCAAATGATGGAAAAGAGAAATGAAACTTACTTTCAGTTTTTTAATTCTGAGCTCAATAGTTTGTATGTCAGTGCTCAGATCAAGGCGGCGGAGTTTCTCCAGTTCCTCTTCAGTTTCTCCCAACCAAGCCCAAACGTTATTAAGGTCGGAGTTAAACTGCTGCCATTGCTGAAGGTTCTGTTTCATCCTCAGCTCCTTGCTTAGAGCTTGAGCCTGGATTAATTCCCAACGGTCAATTACACCTGGAATGATAAAAACCAAATTCAACAAAAGCAAAAAACCCACATTAGCCACACACACAATTGCAACACTTGAATTCTGTGTAGGACAAAAAAATGCTCCATAAAAACCAAAAAACCCTAACCCATGAAATGTAACACTGAAAACTAAGTTAGACTGAAGAATGTGATGCTGAAGAGAAAGAATGTAGAATGGGATGATTCCAGGCAGTAGGCAATTTTACCACTTTCTAATGTCAAACTTCTATGAACAGAATTAAATTGATACATGCAGGTCTCTGCAACAGCTTGTGCTAGTATAAAGACATCATAAATTAGCATAAATGAAAACTGGACAAGGAATTTGAATATGTCTAACTAACCATCTGTTTATTTTTATTTCCATTGGTATTTGTATTGATCACAATTTAATACTTACATCTCACCTGCATTTGCCTAAGCTACTGTTGATGCATTGGATAAATACTTGCACTAAAAAGAAAAAAAAATTAGGGGCTATTTCTTCTTGTTAGTTATCTTGAAATGCTATGGTAGAAGGACAAGTTGTATCATTCCATTAACTTAAAATATATATATATATAAAAAAATCAAAATAAAATAGACTGCATGGGTAGCATATCTTGCCAAGCTAAGAATGGAGACTTTGTCTTTATAGTGTCTGGAACAAATCCATGTTTTTACAATGCAACACCTCCCGCTCTACAGCTGATGCTTAAAATCAGTCAGGTGAATACTTCTACCAAGTGAATATAGACTTCTGTACTGTACACAGATAATATTAGAAGTAAAAGCTAATATTAGAAGAAACGAATATTGACTTGTGTGTTTTGTACAGCAATATAAGCAAACTTTTTTCACCAGAAAAAATTCAACAAAAATGCACTGCATCCCAGAGACTTTCTGAAAGGCTTAGGGTTATGCCTCATGTTATGAAGGGGTTCTTCAAATGTGCTTATATGCCTGTTCTCTTTATAGGGCATATACAAGGAATACTTGCTATTCCTGTTAAGAGATGTCAAACAGAACACAGTGACAGACACAGTCATATATGTCAGTAAATAATACCAAGTGTTTAATTAGAAAAATTTTGCTTGTTTGCTATTTTTCATAATTGCTTTCCGACAAAGAACTAAATTTTACCTACCTGCAGTTTGTGTTTCAGTACTGTTCAGGTTAACGAGTCCAGATAATTTTTCTTCTTCCTCCTTCAGTTTGTATCCAAGCCTTTTTACTGAGTCTATGCTTCCACTGCACTCACCTAGTAGCTTCATCTGTGTTAACAAACAAAAAATCCCATCTCAATATGCACCGTACAAGACTAATTGCATGGAAAACACAAATTACAATGCAACTGCCAAAATTTTCCAAAAGTAGGTCTAAGTGTGAAAATAAAAAATCTATTACTTTAACAATCTGTCCTGATACTATCAAAGAAATGTATATAGAGACAATAAGCCTCAGACCAAATAGAAATAACTCGCTGCCACTGTGCCAAATTGTGCTGGATAACTTTATGTGTCACCTGTTCTAAATGTTAAGACACTATGGAAAAGACACTAGAAGATGTGATAATGAAAATAAATGTAAGTGTGGAAATATTACCATGCATCCAATGACCTAATCTTTCAATTCTTTCAGTAATAAATGAATGATTTAGAGAGAGATTTTTCTTCCAGAAAACCTCCCTGAGAAAGCTTTTTAAACATGGATATATATATATGCAACCTTGCTTACATGAAGCATGTTTGTAATTCATCAGCAAGAAGAATACTGTGCATGCAGCTATAAAACCTGCTTTTAAAAGCAGAGGAATTTTAAACAAGGATATCATCATTAGATGGATAAAAATATGTGTGAGGAAGTACTTTTAGACAACTGCAAAAATGCAATAGGAAAATAAATTCCTTAGAATCATGTTCCTGTAATCTTATACTATTGTAAACACACTAATAACATAAAAAACAATAGTATGTGGTTAAGGGTAGCAAACACATGAATGAATAAGTCTGAGAAGCAGTGATATCTAATTGCGTTGTTTAAACAGCCATATTTCTTTCAATAGCACATATAAGCTTGGAGTGCTTATTCGACTTGTGCTCCAAAATACACGCACGTATCCTTTGTAACTGGAATCCAGCTCTGGTCCCGTAGGTGTTTTGCTGCGGATGATGTCTTCTGTTTGCTGTATTTGGAAACGACTTGTGTCTAAGGCCTTGTCCAGCTGTCGGATATGAGCTTCCAGGGCACCAGGTTCTCCTGTACCAACAACAAAAAAAGGTGACTGTCACTCAAATTTTCCCATTTTTTTTTTTATCTTTTGCCCAGGTAGAATAACGATCCGGAATACTACCTAGATTAGACAGTAAAGGAGAAATGTGACTGTAATAGTATGAGTGGTACAATGTCAAAGCGAACTGATAACTAGTTATATTAGAGGGTGTTAGTGACCTTCAGAGGACAGATGACTATACCAATGAACATGCTTGCCATAAGCATACTGTCAAAAAGTCCACAGTTTAAAGCAGGCTTGCAAGCTATTCTGAAGTGACTCTTTCCCTCAGAGGATTCCTCACCTCTCTGTAAGTTCTTGGCAAAATGTGATCTAACCTCATTGACTTTGGAGAATGCCTTGCTGCCTTTCACAAATGCTTTCAAATAAAACCATGTATCCCAAACTCCTGATCCAAATCCATGTTAAAATTTGATTTTTCTTAATTTCTCTTTGTATATTTCTCTCCACTAAAAAATAGTGGAATTTTGGTCTACATGAAAGGACCCTATTTATATGCAATTCTGAAGATTAAAAGCAGAATACAAATGCTAAGCAATACTGTTATAATTATATTCTGAAGTTTCATAGATGACTGGACATCTTGAAAGTTCACAGCAAGTAGTCCCCAACTGATGTAGGCAACCATATTAAGCAGCAAAATTTAGAGGATTTTTCCAATTAGGCATTTGACAAAGATTACGCTTAACATATCTGCAAGACTCTATTATTCATCCAAGCCGTTTGGAACTCATGCCAAGCTTTTTGAAGCAGGACTAACTTGTATTTTCCTTAGAGAGGTCAGCTAAATTCTGTGATATTAATTAGCTATAGTCAATTCTAATCTGAAGCAGGCTGCAGCCTAGAAGACCACATGAGATCTCTCTTATCCATATTCTATCACTGTGCCTGATTTCCAGCTGTTTACAAAGACAGTTTGAATTTATTCATAAAGACACAATTAAAAACCTGGATAGAGAAGGTGAGCCTTTCAACGCCCTAACTCCAGAAAACTGAGCCTCTTGGATGGTTCATCTCTTACATACAAAACACCACCTCACTCCAAATACACAGAATAAAATGCTCAATATTGTTTTTCCCTCACTACTTTCAACATTTTAACTGGTTAGAAAACTACACGTTTTTCTGTATGTACTGATATTACTTACACTCTTAATAAATCACAATATTATTTCACTAATTTGGTGAAAAAATAAAAATGGACCGTGAATCTGAGGTTTGTGCCACAGATGCTGAGATTCTAAATGTCTGCTATTTCAATTTTGCAATGAAGTAATTATTTCAAAAGAGGAAAACTGTGAAATAATGAGAAAAGGTATTTGTAAGTGCATCTAATCCCTCTGAGAGTGCCATCTAACAAATGAACCAGTAGGTTTAATCTTGTGTAAAAATGCAACTTTTAAAAAAATCATCTTCCAATATAAAAGACTAAGATAAAGGCATTGGACTACAGTATGTCACGTTGGTATTGTTATCACATGAAACAACAACTAACCTAAAAGTTTATATCTAAGTAATAATCCAAGTTGTGGCTGTGTTAAAAAAGTGCAAAACTGAACAATTAGGTTTTGTAGAAGCTACTCTTCTCTCAGGGACATAACAAAATATTAAGTCTTGTTGAGGGACTCCAGAGAATAAAGACCAGAGTAACTTATCAGTTTAGTTTAGTTAGTTGATGTGGCAGGGCAATACTTCAAATATCATTGTTTCATCCATGCACCTAATAACACCCTTAAGCACAGTAGTGAAGCAGGATACTTCTACATTAACATGCCAATGTTTCCATGTAAGAAATATTTATCTTGCAAGTTGTGAAAAGTAAGCAGATACTAAGAGAAGAAAAAGAATTTATGCTTGCACATCATGGTATTTGCATCTGGCTATGCTTAGTCTTTTTTGATGCCTACCAGAGATATTTTTGAGTGCGTTTTCTGTGAGTGTTACATAAGCCTCAAGAGTTTCAGGGATCTCTACATCTGAAAAAATAAAAGCACGGTCTAAATTGACAACTCAGCAATGGCTGTCTCTTACAGCAGGAGTCCTCTCCATGGGATGGAATATATAAACAGTTCCAATAGCAAACATCCTTTCTGGAGAAGGAAAAAAAGATTAAGACTGAAACACAGGGAGCCTGTTACAAAGTCTCTTAATATCCAGGCAAATCTGATTCTTTTCAGAGCAATGACCTGGAAACCAAAAGACAGCCACAAGATCAGAGAATAATATACCAGTATGTCTTCCCCAACAACTGGCTGCATTTGGGCACTTTCGCTTGCTAAGATTACATAAAGCACACATACTTAGAAAGGATTTCCAGCTTCACTGGAGAGCAAGACCCAAGATCCCACCTCAGGCTAAACACTCAGTTGCTGAAGTCTTGTTTAGGTAAGGACTGAGTTAAGATTTACTTAAGCACTTGATGATTATCTGCGGATCTCTCCCACAGCATTTCTTCATCAGTTTGTTCTGGACTTCTTGCCACATTCAGTATAGTTTCTTCTAGTCAGAATAACTTATGACACACTGCTGTTACAGATGACATATCCCATCTGGTAGGCTACAAGCACAGAGACACAGCCAATTCCCTGTCATATCATACGCGCCTTTGCGATTTGCCAAGGCTGTAGACATTCAGGAATCTCCATAACTGTGTCTAAGGCCAGAAGGCCACTGGGATCACTTAGGGAAAGCTATTTATAATCTTCAGGGGCTATTTAAAATACTTTTCCAAGAACATCTTGGCCAAGCAATCACACATGTAGCATTTGCTTCTTTTTACTAGGAAAGAACAGGACACAATTTGCCACCATACCTGCTATACCAGCTGCTCCTCTCAGGTAGAAGTCCTTCTCTTGTCCTCCGTCTTCCTCCTCAGAGTGCAGTGCCTGTGAAACAGCTGTCTCCAGGTCTCTGCTAAGGTCATAGTCATGATCCCACTCCAGGGGAATTGAGTCCACACTCGCAGGGGTATCTCGCCCTGATCGCTCACTTCTCACCGGCTGGGAAAGAGGCAGCGAAAGGTTGGAAGAGGGGTGTGGGGAGAGAACGCTGTCTGCAGATTTATCGTGCCAGTGTATGTCAGAGAGATCTGCTGATTCATCCAGATCCACCTCTCTGTCAGAGAGGTCGTGTTCATCATCTGTCAGCTAGAAGTATAATACAAACAGAACTGATCAATGAAACGTGCAGAGGCACTGCATGGTCTGCCTGGCTCAGTGAAATAAAGTAGCATTAGGCAACAGTCACACTGACAGGGTTTCCATTTTGTGTTCTTTTGCAATTCCCCTTCATTATTTTAAGGTGCTCTAAAAACCAAACCAACAAAGTTCATAATGCCAGATCATTTTAATTACTTAAGGCACCACAAAGTCTCCCATCAAGCAAATGCCTCCAGACTGCAATGCAGACATCAAATGAAAGAAAACTCGGGAATCAAGTAATAAGAAGCGTAAGTGATTGTGATCACTGCTCTCATTTTATTCTACCATATTTTGAAAACCCTGGGTTTTGTTCCTTTCCTACCAAAAATAATTTTGCTGTCACTTATTCAGCTCTGGAGATAAATTTATGTCTCTTCTGATGGGGAGAATAATTTTATCATGTTTTTTAAACAAAACAGAACTCAATAAGCTGTCAATGAAACTATCTGACAGAACAGTGAGATATTATTACCAGTACCACTATGCTACCCCCATTAATAAAGTTTTATAAATCTCCAATTTGCATGGATTTTCACGGTGATTTACAAAAATTACAGATCCGATGAATCTGCTCTTTGAACAGGACATAAATAGCATATAATGAAGGGAGGCAGATGGTCAGGGCTGTAACAAAATTAAACCACAGGATTTTTGGAAAGTTACAGAAGTTTCATGTTAGTTCATTTCAGCATCTTTCTCTCTCCTCATTTTCACACTTGTAAAATGTCAACAAATAAAACAAATACATATGTATGTAAGTATACACACAGGAAGGCGGATGAGTTTCCTGTGATAGCGTTCCACACGTCCGAAGACCTCTTGACAGTAACGACGCAGCTCATCTAGTTCTTCTTCAATGACAGCTGCATCCATGGGCTCATTTTTCTCAATGAGTTGCTCACCCTGCACAATTATCTGCTCAATTTTGTTGTTATTCAGTGAAATTTCTTGCTGGAAAGCCTGCATAAAAGAAAAGCCCATGCTTTATCCATTAAACCAATATTACAACAACCTAAGTTATTAAGGATGCAAGTCTCAAAGAATTTTTCAGCAAGAATGCTGTGGGTAACAAACAGGGATTGTTCCAAATATTCTGGCATGAGCAACAATGAGCAACTAAATTTAGGATCCGCAGTCTTTCTAGCCAAAAACAGTGATACTGCATGGTTTACCATCTCATTCCTCACTTGTTGTATTTGGAAAGGAAGCTCTTCTCTAAACAAGCCATGCCCATGAACAAATGTCTAGAATGAACACAGATGCTAACGTTAAGGCACTGGAGTTTTAGATAACATGACATGAGATGTTTTTCTCTCCAGATAATGATTTTTCTGATGTAGAAATGGTTAACAAATGTAGTAATTCTTAGGTGTCAGCAATGATGGAGACTTGACATTAATAATTTTTATTGACATTTCCTCTTATGATTAGGGAATGGAGACTATCACCCTTGTTTTTTTAAAAATTTTTCACAGCCCAAAGATTTTCCACTCTGTCAGAAAAGCAAGTATTGAAACCTGATATAGCGCGTAACTTCTGAGGTTGAAATCTCAGCCTGCAAGTAAGGGACTGTATCAGGTTTCATTTTTGTGTAATGTTTCTTAAATTCTTTTCCCACCATGAATGTTTTTATCCCTTCTCTCATCCCTCCTCCATTCAATCGTTCTTTACCTTAAGTTGCTTTATCTTTGCTTGGACATCACACTCTGAGAAATGCTCAATGTTGGTCAGCTGCAGGTCCATCTCTGTTAGCCACACCAGGATGCTATCACGTGCTGTCTCAAACTCCTCACGCTGGCTGATAAAATGCTGGTGGGTAGAAAATGGAGTGTCATTAAATGACCAAACTACCCCCAAAAACCCAGCAATAGTGGTTCTCTGAAGAAATGGCTTTCATGCCCTTCAAACCTAATCTAAACCCAGTACACCTTCTTTTTTAATTTCCTACATAATTTTTAAGGTTCTCTTTCAAGTAACATCATCTACACCTGCAATTAGCTGACCTATGAAAGTTATCTGCTATGAGGGAGATGGTGTTTGAGGTCACCAAGCATTTCCCTATCATGCTTTGGTTACCTCAGACAAAGTGAACTGATAAATTCCCCTCCTCTTGCAAAGAAGAGGAAAATCCCCTCGAAAACACTGTGCAAATGTATTGAACTAGAAGCTTCCCTGATTCATAAGTATAGTAGTGAAACTGAAGCTTTTAAAAATGGAAAAATACTTTTAGCCTGCGCAGGATGGAAGTAACTCGCTTTTGTAAGTTGTCCCATCTCTGGTTTCCCTCATGGACCATCTGCTTAAGGCTGCAGTTAGAGTCGGTGCGGTTCTCTCGAGCCAGCCGGCGATATTGTTTATTGATCAGTTCCAGCTGAGTCAGGCTTTCATGCACTTGTCTCTGGAAGGCCTAAAGCAATATGAACAAAAGACACCATCAGATTTTTAATTAATGAAATCAGGATACATACATAAGTGTCTCCCTTTATTTTGACCCTACTTCTACACTCTGCCCTGTATTAGCCGATAGATTTTAGAATGAATGTAGACATCTCCTGAGGCCTATCTTATTGAGAGGCTGTCTTCTTATTGAAATGAGCACAAACAAAGAAAAAAGTTTATGAAGCTGATAAAGTTCACTGAATGAGAAATTGAAACATAAATACCTGTTACAATGGCAAAATCAGCACAAAAAAACCCCCTCCTCTTTCTACTCAATCATATGCTTTTGTATTTGAGAACAGAAACACAAAGAATATTGAGCTTTTTTTTTTCTAAATAGAACAGAAATCTCAGATTCCTGTGCTTCATTGGATATCCTTACATATTAAATTTGCAGAAGTGCAAACATTGAAGAGACTTGAGCATCTGTTTATTTTGAGATTTACCAAAAATAGTGAAAAACAGTACTGAAGGAATAATTTCTTTTTCTTCAGTATACTGGTATACAAGTAAGTTTTGTCTTAAAATTTTAGTGGAAAGAAAATTTTGTGAACATCCATACTAACTTATGCTGGGCAAGTGTCTGTATCATGTACTTTCAGTGCTTCCTCTACTGTTAAAAAGCCTCAGTCACCCAGGTTGTGAGTAGAAACTGTAGGTGACTTAGCCCATGAATTTCATGTTCTGACTAGCGACCACAAAGTAAGTTAGAGAAAGCACCTTGTAAGGAGCTGACTGAATTAATCCCTTCAATAATATAAAAAAACCCCTCCATGAATAATTTTTCAAAAAACTATTAATTTTTATGTTGTCACAGAAATGGAAGAGAAATCAATCAAAGAAAGACTTAAAAACATAGAATACACGAGCTCTCTTTTGAATACAAGTAGGTTTTGGCTCCCATTGTAGTTCTACAAACTTGCTCTCTGATATTCCTCACAATGCAAATAAACAGTCAATTTCTTCCAAAACTAGACACCACCCTTACTAAGGACTGGAGAAGTGTGATAGGTAATACACTTCTGTACAGAAATTTTCATTAAAATCAGCTAACACATGAGATTTCTACATAAACAATATATACTCTTCATAGTTCATATGCCAGTCAAACATAAAAATGAAATAAGCACGTTTCTGCTGTAATACCAGAGACAAAAGTAAAGAAGATGGTTTGAAAAAAGATCAAAATCTATAGAGAGTTCTCAATATAACTTTAAATGGCCATCAAACTGGGTAGGGGACAACCAACAAGGAGCAAATAGGTTTTCAACTGGAGTGAAATTCTTTATAGAACAGACTTAAAATTGCACAAGGAGGGAATTCTCATATCAGAGGCACAAATCTGACTGTATTTACTAGGATCATGAAATCTAAAAGTGTGCACTTGTTGTTTTACCTGTTACCAAGCCTTGTCCAGCAAAAGAACACCTGTGTATTTGTCTTCCATTTTTTCAGCTCAGCTACACAGGAATTCATCTGCTACATTCCTTCCTGTAATCTCTTTTCATTTTTCCATAAACTACTGGAGAGAAAGGATTTTGATTTTGTACAGAGAAGTCAGTGAGAGCAATCTTTGACCTCTGTGTTCAGGAGTTAAAAGGTTCTTAACACAGTCTGCTGGTTGGTTTTGTTTGGTTGGTTGGTTGTTTTTTTTGTGTGTGTGGTTTGTTTTTGTTTTGTTTTGTTTTTAAATTCAACTGCAGATATGGTGGTGAAAATAAAATAAGAAAAAAAAGGTTCAGTTAAAGAAGAAACTTTCTTCAGGTAGTATGTATATGTGGCTGACTTTATACTGATTTCAATCCCACTGAATTTGAACACTTTTTTTTAAATTTGTCACTTGCATTACTGCTTTTCTGT